GCTGACAGAGCTCCTTACTGCACTTCTACCCTCTCCGCCATATTGTTTGTTCTCTACTTTGTTTGTGGGTTTTGTTTTTCATTTTCACTTCTGTTGTGTGATTGTTGTTGAGTGTCATTGAGTCTGTTCCAACTCACAGTGACCCTGCATAGAGTTTCTGAGGAACTGCTGGTGAGTTTGAGCCACCAACATTGTGGTTCAAATTAACCTTTCAGTCCAGTGCTTATCCGACAGTGCTACACCACACCATTGTTCTTGTTGTTAAGTGATGTCAAGTTGGTTCTGATTCATAGTGATCCTGTTTCCAAGGAGCAGCTTGTAAGCGTGAACCACCAACCTTGTGGTTTAAACCGACCTTGTAGTCCAGCACATTAGTCTGCAGTGCCAGAGATGCAAATCAAAACAGTAATGAGATACCATCTTCCCCCAAAAAACGAAAACAACAAGTGCTGGAGGGAGTGTGGAGAATATGGGACCCTCCTACACTGCTGGTGGGGCTGCAAAATGGTGCAACTGTTGTGGAAAATGGTATAGCACATTCTCAGAAGGTGGGAAATAGAAATATTGTTAAGTGCTGTTGAGTCAGCTCTGATTTCTAGGATTTCTGAGGAATGGCTAGTGAATTTGAACTGTCGATCTTGCAATTCAAACTGACCTAGTGCATTATCCTGCAGTACCACACCAGGACTCCTAGAAATACCGTATAGCCCAAGAATCTCTGTACTTAACATATATCCTCAAGAATTAAGAGCCGTAACATGAATAGATATATGCACACGCATGTTCATTGCAGCATTATTCACAATGGCAAAAAGATGGAGACAGCCTAGATGCCCATAGCAGAGGAATGGTTGAACAAATCTTGGTACATATACACAAAGGAATATTATGCAACATAATGATCAGTCTGTAAATATCACATAACATGGATGAACCTGGAGTACATTCTGCTAAGTGAAATTAGTCAGTCTCAGAGGGGCAGGTATTGTATGAGACCTCTAATATAAAAAGTCAAGACAAGATTTTCATTCTATAATGAACATTCTAAGATGGTTACCAGGGTGGGAGGAAAGAATGTATCATTTACTCTGTAGGATATAGACACATGCTAACTTAGGTGAAGGAGAAGGCAGTTAAAAAGAAAAGGAAATTGCTTTTTCCCCCCATGAAGAGAAACTATATATATTTATTTTCTAGTATGATACACCACTGAAACCTCTCCCCCAAATAAAGTGAAAGGAAAAAAGGGGGAGGTGAAGAAAGGAGAGAAAGAGGGAAAAAAATTGAAAATGAATAGTGGTGATGGTTGTGCAATGTGGGAATTGTGGTTGGTGTGGTTGTGTTGTACATGTAAAAATGGGTGAAATGTTTTATTGTGTGTGTATATACATATACATATATATATATTGCTACAATAAAATTTAAAAAAGAAGATAGGAGGACTTCCTGGGAAGGGGGCAAACCTACCACCGTCTCTTCCTCCTTTCTCTCAACAAAACATTGAGTTTAGTGGAGAGGCGAATGAATGAGTGAGTGAGTGAATGAATGAATAAATGAATGGGCCAGAGAGACAGACAGTACCCAGGGAGAGATGCTGAGGCCCACAGAAGACTTGTGGAGGTGGAGAAAGGCTTGGTAGGTTGTGTGGAGGATCCACTTGACCATGAGGAACTGAAGGAGAGGGAGAGGCTGGATGACCCCAGCAGTATGAATTGCCACTGAGGACTGTGGTCAAACCCCAAAGATGTAGTACAGTCCCTGTGAAATTGTTCACCACCGATGAACAGTAAATAAGCATAAGTAAGCCCATGCTTACTTTGATTTTTGGATAATCTTCCCCTGCCACCTCATGGAGGTGGCCTTTAGCTCCTCCACCCACAGCCCTCAACACTAAGTCAGAGGCAGCCCTAATGAACAGACAGTGGAACACCTTGCCCATCTTTGGGCCCCAGGAGTCAGTGGTTTACTGGGTTCCTCTCCAGAAATAGCTGCCTACAGGGTCCCAGGAGAGGTGGCCTGTATGTGTGTGTGGGATCCAGGTTGGTTCTTCCTGGGCTCTGCCCCCACCCCAGTTCTCAGTTTTCCCACCAGGGGGTCTCTTCCCTCCTACTCTGCAATGGGACCCAGGGGGTACTCCCTTCCCTGCCTGACTCCAGCTTCCCAGGAATGTGTCTCTCAGTCCCAAGAGCAGGCACCTTCTTTATCAAGTCCTCTTAAAGGGAAGCTGAGGCCCATCCACAATGGCAGCTCTTCCCTGTTAGCTCCTGCCTGACCCCAGTGGAGGGCTGACCAGAACCTTCCAAGTACCTGGAGGCAGGAATTCTTCCCCTCTGGGCCACTTGAAATCTGATCCTACCTCTTTCAGACTCCGGAGCCTTGTGGGCACCTCTCCTAGTGCAGACTGCCCAATGTCCACCACTGTCCACTGGCTGGCTGGCCAAGCCCCACTGTTTCCCCAGTCTGCCTCTCCCTGGGCTTCTGATTGTCTTGTCATGGGAGCTGTTTACTGGCTTAGCTCTTGAGCCCAAGGCTCTGGGCCAGGCAGAGTCACTTCTCTGGGTTCGTCTTAACTCCTTCCTCCCTTGGTCATCTCATACAAATGCCCACAAGGCTATTAATGCCTACTCCAACATCACCCAATGCCACACATATACTTCAGCCTCAACAAGGCCAGACAAGACTCTTCATCCCTCTAGAGCAAGCATTCTAGAGGCCACCCCAGGGCACCATCCTGTGGCCCAGGTTATTGAGTCACCCTGGAATCCTCTCCCACACCTCTGTCCAGCACATGGGCAAGACCCACACCCGGCCCCTTCCTGCCCTCTTAGCTGCTCCCTGTCTGACACTACTACCCTTGGTACCTCCCCGTACTATGACCCACAGGACAGCTAATCTAAAGTCACCTCTTCAGATGGCAAGATTAACCATAGAATGCTCCACACACACAATGGAATGCTTGTTGCTGTGAAGTGCCGTTGAGGTGCTTCCGACCCATAGTAATCCTGTATAGGGTTTCTGAGGACTGACTGGTGAGCTTAAACTACCAACCTTGCAGTTCAAACAGCTTTGCAGTCCAGCACATTAACCCACAGGGTGGAGAAATGCAGTCCTGTTACATGGCACATGGATGAACCTTGAAAACATTGTGCTCAGCATAATACCAAATTGGTTGGTGAGTAGAAAATGACATATCGTATATGATCTCACTTATATAAAGCAAGCAAATATATGAAGGCTAATTTAAAAAAAAAAAGTATTGCCACAAAATCATAGAAACCTTTATTAAATAAAACTATCAGGAGTCCTAGTGTTGCGCTATAGGATAAACACTAGACTCCTAACCACAAATTTGGCAATTTAAATCCAATAACTGCTCCTTGGAAACCCAATACAAGGTCACTATAAGTTGGAATGGACTCAACAACAACAGTGTGAAAATCTATTGTTTTTTGACATGTCCTCTATCTAAGTCTATACACCTCTGAAAGGTGAAGTTTCCATTTCTCTTACCTTCCCCCATAGAATTTTGTGTTCTTCATCAAACAGCATGCTTCCTCCAGATCATGCTCCTTTTCAATGTTCTTTGAGTTTGAAGAGCAAGATCAGGACTGTGAAGTGGATGGGGGTAGGGTTTCTAATGACATTTTCCTAAGACAGCACTAGCTACCCTTGAAGAAACAGCAGGTGCACTGTTCATTATGGAAAAGCATTCCTTGGTGCAACTTGCCTGGCCTTTTTCTCACCAACGCATTTTTCAATTTTCTTAAACTTCTCCCTAGTAAGCCCTCGGAATCATCCTGTATCACCAAGAAAATCTATCAATATGACTCCTTTGGAATCCCACAAAATAGTCACCGTAACCTTCTGAGTTGAAGTTTCTGCCTTGAATTGAACTGGCCCAGCAGATCCCCCTCAGAAGTCAGTTTTGATTGGACCCTGTTGAGAGGAAGGTAAGTGTATCACTGAAATAACTTGTCTGCAGCTACCCACTGATGGTAGAGACATGTTTAAAAGACATTTTGTTTGAAATAAACTCTTGCGAGTATGAACCGGAATCCTAGTAGGTATAGATTTTGACTTACTCTAGTATGTTAAGTGTTACCGAGTCACTTCTGACTCATAGTGACCTTGTATAGGGTTTCCTAGGAGTGGCTGGTGGGTTTGAACCACCGACCTTGTGGTTAGCAGTCCAGTGCTTATCCTACAGCGCCAAACAGATTATTAGTAGTTCCTCGGTTGGGAGGGAGGGAGAAAGGAGAGTTTATGCTTAGGGGGCACTAAGTTTTTGTGAATGGTGATGGAATAATTTGGGAAAGGATAGAAGAATATTTGCACAACTTGAATGAAATCAAGGTCACTTTATTATACATGTAGACATTGCTGAGAAGGCCTATATTTTATTATACATATTTTCACCACAATAAAAAAGATGGTCATAAACTAGAATAAAATTTGCACCAAAAAAAAAAAAAGGTGACCTCCACACATGAGCGCCCACCCCATAGCCCTCTGAAACATGTTAGATGGGCCCCCAAATGCAGGAATCAAGAATTGCAGGTGGGGTAGTGGGCCAGTCCACCACCAAATGGACCATCCTGAATCTTCCCACTCTCTCCCTCGTCCCCGCCTTTTCTCCACTAATCGCGTCGACCTTAGCCCCGCCCCCGTGGTGGCTCCGTGGGTCCTTTCTATTGGTCCTGTCCTAAAAAACCTCCAAACTACCGGTTTCTCAGGAACCACGCGTTCTCTGCAGTCGCCGCCACAACAATCGCCACGTGCTTGAGCGTGGAGCCTGCTTATTCGCTCACAGTCTCAAACCATCCCCTCCTTATGTCCCGCCTCTGCACCACACCTCTTCTCCCATTGGCTGCCAGGTCCAGGACCCCGCCTTCAAGTCGGCGCATACGACCTGGATTGGTTGAAGATAGGCGTTGGGCAGGGCTCGAAGGCAGGTTAAAAAATGGACAGCGGTGTCTGCCACGCGTGTCTCAGAAGGCTCCATGGCGTGGCAAGGCCTGGCGGCTGAGTTCCTGCAGGTGCCAGCAGTGACGCGCACCTACACGGCGGCCTGCGTGTTCACCACCGCCGCCGTGGTGAGCTAGTTGGAGGAGGGTGGGGCGAGCATCGCTTTGATGGCGATCTGGGCGAGGGAGGGTCGGTAGCCCCTAACTCATTGGGTTCCGCAGCAGCTGGATCTCCTGAGCCCTTTCCAGCTTTACTTCAACCCTCACCTGGTGTTCCGGAAGTTCCAGGTGCGGCTGCCTCGCCTTCGCGCCCTGCCCAGCCCCTGCAGCCCAGCTCCACCTCCTGCTTCTTCCCTTGCCGCGCTGCGCCCCAGCTCCCTACCACAGCCCAGATCTGTCCTGTGTCGCCCCTGATCGCGCACTCCTCGCAGGTGTGGCGGTTAGTCACCAGTTTCTTCTTCTTCGGGCCCCTTGGATTCAGCTTCTTTTTCAACATGCTCTTCGTGTATCCTGCGCACGGGAGGGCGGGTCAGGGCGGGGAAACTGAGGCCTGCAGTCGTACTTCCTATACCGAGGTTCAGGTTCCGTTACTGCCGCCTGCTGGAGGAGGGCTCGTTCCGTGGCCGCACCGCCGACTTTGTCTTCATGCTCCTCTTCGGGGGGGTCCTGGTGACTGTATCCTTCTAGCGTCTTACCATGGTGCACCAAGTGGTTCCCATGTGGGTGCTATTCCACGCAGAGAGCTGGGCCCAGAGCCCGCACCCTGGATGCCAGCAGTCGGGGCGGGGGGCTCGGGCAGGGCAGAGGCCGAGGTGGGTAGAGATGGGCACCTTCAGATCATCGAGTGACCCTGATGTTTGAGGGAAAGGCGGCCAGGGGAGGGTTCGTCTAGCAAGTCAGAGGGACAGCGTGATGGATGAGGGTGAGGGACCAAAGTCGACAACCAAGACTGCACTTCCCAACCTTCACCCCTGATGGAGCCCCGAGGTCTCCCATTCCAGGGCTCCACAGGCTGGGCCCCTTGACTCTGGCACAGCTGCTGGGGCTCTTTGGCAGCCCGTTCTTCCTCAGCCAGGCGCTGGTGACCATGCTGGTGTACGTGTGGAGCCGCCGCAGCCCGAGCGTCAGAGTCAACCTCTTTGGGCTCCTTACCCTTCAGGCACCCTTCCTGCCTTGGGCACTAACGGGCTTCTCGCTACTGCTGGGCAATTCGGTACTCGTGGACCTGCTGGGTGAGCAGTCCGCTTAGCCCTGGAGTAGCCCAGACGTTGTGCTACAGAGGAGCTCGGCAATCCAGGCGCTTCCTCCCACACTCGAGGTGCCCGCCCTCAAGGCTTGCTGCCCCCTCCCACTCTCGGTGGGCTAGGCTGGTCCTTGATCTACTTTCCTGCACCCTGTTCTAGCAGTTTCTATAGCCAACCAACCCCAGCTTTATCTGCCTGTGTGTGTGGCGCTGTGGGTGCAGACACTCTGGACTGAAGTCGATTTGAGCTGCAAGGTCAGAGGTTCAAGGTCACCAGCCACTCCTTGGAAACCCTATACAGGGTTGCTATGGGTCGGAACCGACTCGACAGCACTTTAACAACAATGTGTGTGTATGGAGAGGTTTCCCAATCCACAGCCCTAGCCCCTATGATGACCCCTCTGCTCAGCCCATCTGTCCCCTACCTGCCTTGAGGGTGGGCTACCATGGCGAAACTGCACCCATCCTTGGTATCTGCAGGCTCAGGGTGGTGCAGGATGGCCTTAGCAGTCCCTCCTGGCTCTCCCTCAGGTATCACTGTGGGTCACATCTACTACTTCCTGGAGGATGTGTTCCCCAATCAGCCTGGAGGCAAGAGGTTGCTGTTGACCCCCAGCTTCCTGTGAGTGCTGGGGATGCCCTACTCCCTAATTATTGCCTCAGATCTCCCTACTCCTGGGGAAGGGTTTGGGCCTCCACTCAGTGTGGGCCCCCACAGAAAGCTGCTATTGGATGCCCCAGAGGAGGATCCCAACTACCACCCCCTGCCCGAGGAACAGCCGGGACCCCATCTGCCACCCCTGCAGCAGTAACTCCATGCTGGCCTGGGCTTAGCCCTGGCAGGCCTCCACCCCACCTGCACATAGGCCTCGGACTCATTCTGGAGACAATGGCACCCAAGCCTGATCTGAATAAACAGAGTGACCCGCAGCCTCTTGGCTAGCACTGGCTTCCTCTGCCTCGTCTTCTGGACACGCCCGGGACACCCAGGCTATGGGTGGGAGGAACCTACACGGTCCAGCAGAGGGGCTTTCATCCCAACCTGCTGAGCCTCCATGAGACTCTGCCAGACTGCAGTCACTGGTGCCAGGCCAGTTTGTGGGTACTCCCTGCCTATGGCACTCCACCTGGCCCTCTCACCTAACACCAGCAACCCCAACCTCAAGGAGCCTTCTCATTATCCAGCTGGTGCCACTGAGGCAGAGTGGCCGAGGGACTTGGCTGAGGCCGTGGGGCCCCAAGGCCTAGAGAAACTCTACTATAGCAGAGCCCTGCCATGGGTGTGGCAGATGTGGGGCAGTGAGGATCGCCTCAGGTCTGTCATCTGGATACCCAGCAGGCTGTCCCCCCGATGGTTTATTCCCACATGACAACTGCATCTGAGTGCCAACTGCGAGGAGACCCGTGTGTGGGAGGGCTGCCTCCAGCCTGTAAGGTGAGGATGTGGGGAGCAAAGGGGAGGGGACACAGCCTGTGGGCTGTCATGCAAGTATGAACCCTCACAGCCTGGGGCGGGGAAGGCAGCAGTTGGACAGGGTAGGGGCTCCATCTACTGCAGGCGTTGTGGTGAGGCTGGTGAACATCACCCTGCTGCTGTGGGGGAGCCCCCGGTGTGGCCCTGCATTCAGCTGAGGGGACTGAGCTCTGGATGCACCAGCTAAGCTAGCAGAAGAGCCTGCTATTTCACTCAGTCAAGCAGGGCCACAGGGGTGGGGGTGGGCGACAGGAGGGCACTGCCCACCCAGCCCCCAGCCTAGCTCCTGCCTCTGCAGATCTGAGGTCTGCTGTCCCATAGCCCCGAGAGCTCTGGTCCCAGGAGGTGGGTGGGAAGCTGGAGGGCAGGGAAAAGGCAAGCATGAGTGCTGTGCAATGTCCATGGGGCAGGCACAGTGGTCATATTTCTATGTCACCACTTGGAGACAGGACACATGACCTGTTGTCTTTTATTTAAAAAGTGTTGCTAGCCCTGTCTGGGGCGCCTATAGAAAAACTAAACACAACTCAAAACGAGGCTTCTTCCTGGGCCCAGAGACTGAGTGGGGTGGGGAGCAGAATACAGTGACAGAAGGTGTGTGAGGAGATGACTGGAAGGCCCCCTTGCACACCTCATATGGCACCGCTGCCCCTGCCTCTCCTTGCTGGAAGGTTCTAGATGGAGAGGTGGTAGGGTCTTCAAGCTGCTGCAGTGGGTGGCTGTGTTGAGGCGTTACCAGGCTGGGGCAGTGTTGGCCAGACGCCGCATCCGCCTGTGGGGAGAAGGCAGTAAGGCTTTAGGATGGCCCCTCTGCCTCACTCATCTGCTGCCTGGCCCACAGTGGCTTGCTCTCCAGGGTTTTTGGGTGGTGGTTAGTGTTTGGGTCCCCTCCCTGAGACTACAAGCCCTGGGGAGGGAGGGGTACCTTGTGTTCCTGTCCTGGTCACGGATCTTCTTCTCCATCTCTGCGTCCGTCAAAGTCTCCAGTAGTGGGCACCACTGGTCAGCGTCACCTGTGTTGCGGATGGCGATCTCCACCGTGGGTAGGGGGTTCTCACTGTTGGGGGTGGGGAGGAGGACAGGAGCTGGTTCACAGAACATCCACCTGCCCCCTACAGATGACTGCTGCCCCGACTGCTCTGCAACCAGGCTGGGCTCCATTTCCTTGGGGCAGCTCTCTGCACAGAGCAGCCTAGTAGTGTGCTCTGATTGAGACCTCCCACCCCAGGACCCCATGGGTCTCTCTGCAGAGCACACTCCAACAGCTCTTATGTCAGCCATCCCAGCAGACAGCAAGAAAGGAGGGCTGCTTACTAAGACCCAGCAGTATGCACAGGCCAGGGAAAGGAAGAAGGGGTTGGCAGGAGGAGTCCCTCTAGCCCTTGACTCCTGGAAGTATCTGTTACCTGTCCCTGCCCCAGAGGGCTTTGGGGCCACCAACTTCTGAGTGTTCTGCATTGTGGCCTCATAGCTCCCTGGCCAAATAGCTGGTGAGTAGAGAATGGTGGGAAACCGTGTCCTCAGCCCACAGAGGTTGAGCGGGCCACACCCTGAGGGCTCCTGGGTGGTTAAGATCCCAGTGTGCAGAGGGAAGACAGAGGGGCATTGGAGCACTGGGAGGGGAGAGGGCATCCAGTGGCTGCTTTCAGGACACACAAGATGCCAGGAGGACGCTGGGACCTGCCATCAGCTCCACTCTCCTAGTCAGGTCATGCCTAGCATCCCCGGCCTGATGAGCCATCCTAGGGTGTGCGCTGTGATCCTCGGTTCCTGCCACACACCTAAGAGGCCCTGTCTCGGGGGGGGAGGGAAGCACTACCCTGCAGGCAGGAGGTGCTCTGGGGAAGAGGGTGGGCAAGCCCCAGGTCTGGTTGCCAGGGTTCTGGCCTGGCCTGTCAACTGGGAAGCATCTTGGGCTGTAAGGCTACTGTGTGTGAGTAGTCCCCATCCATCCACTGACCTGGAACCTCCCTCCAATATGCCTGCCTGAAAGCCAGGTTGACCTGCCTGGGCTTTGGGCACATGGCTCTGGGGACTCAGTCAGCTCCACTGTGCCTACCAGGTAGGGAAGTAGTTGCCCCGAGTCCTCTCTGTGGAGCCACTTGAGCTGCTGACTCAGAGGTGTGTGGGGGCTGAACACCAGTCAGGTCCTTGTCTCCTGTTGTCGGCTCTGCAGCCTAGCTAGAGGTTTGGCAATCCAGACCCCAAACATCATCAATAACCCGGGCGCCAGGCGCTTTCCGGAGAGAGACATGAAAGGGGCAAAACATGTCTTTGTCCTGCATAAACAAGAACTCGTGATTGTCCCTGAGGCCCCCTGTTTACATCCTTAGCTCTGGGAAGATTCCACTCTAGCAGGCTTGTTCTAAAGTAAGAACCACAGGGCCCAACCACATCAGGTGGGCTGAGAGCCAGCACAGAGGCTGCCTCAGGCTGCGGGAGCTGGACGCCTGGCCTCCCCTCCTTGGAAGGGACTCTGATTTGTGGGCCGTCCTCACAGCCTTGCAGTGTCCAAGGGGAACACAGACGCAGGCCTGGAAGGGAATGAGGTCCATGAGGGCACTGTGTTGTTCATGTTCCCACTGGATGCAGCAAGTCCGCTGAGACTGCCAGGGGAAGTGGCCTGCTGGCAGCCATTCAGCTGGAAGAAGAGATGAAATGGGGTGTCCCCTCCAACAAGGGGGCCAAGTCCACTCAGTGGGGAAAGAAGCATCTTCTCAGCAAATGAATCTCCACATGCACAAGGAGGAAGGTGCACCCCTACCTCACACCACATGCAAAAACTAACAAATAGATCCAACACTTGAACACAAGAGCTAAAGATACTAAAACCCTTTGAGGAAACCATAGGTGTACATCTTTATGACTTGGGTCTGATGATGATTTCTTACATATATCACTAAAAGCACAATAGGCAAAAGAAAAAAGATACACTGGAAATTATCAAAATGGAAGTTTTTTGTTTTTTTTTTTTATGGAAGATTTTCATGCTTCAAGACACATCGTTAAGAAAGCAAAAGGATAATACACAGAATGGGAGAACATTTTTGTAGATCGTATAACTTCTGTCTAGTATCCAGAATAGAAGGAACTCTGGTGGCAAACTAGTTAAGTGCTTGCCTGCTAACCGAAAGGTCAGTGGTTCGAACCTACAAGCCACTCCTTGGGAGAAAAGACCTGGCAATGTGCTCCCTAAAGATGACAGCCTGGGAAACCTAGTGGTTATGAATCGGGCTGTGAACCGCAAGGTCAGCAGTTAGAAACTACCAGCGGTTCCGTGGGAGAAAGATGAGGCTTTCTGCTCCCGTAAAGATTTACAGCCTCGGAAACCCTGTGCAGGGTTGCTATGAGTCGGAACCGACTCCACGGCACTTAACAACAACAACAACTCTGTCTTAAAAGGAGCTCTGATAGCATAGTGGTTACAAGTCAGGCTGGTAACCTTAAGGTCAGCAGTTCGAAACTACCTGCCATTCCACAGGAGAAAGATGAGGCTTCTATTCCTGTTAAGAGTTACAGCCAAGGAAACCCTATGCAGGGGAGGTCACAGTGAGTCAGAACTGACTCCACGGCACATAGTCACCACCAGCATCATTCTGTTCTATAGGGAGGGTAACTGTGAGTCAGAATCAACTTAATAGCACACCACCAAGTTATAACAATCCAAATATAAACACATGACCCAGGAATTCCATTCCAAGAGAAAAGAAAACACATTCTCACCAAAACCTGCACATTGTGTTCACAGCAGCACTATTCACAGTAACCAAAAGTGGGAACAACCCAAAATGACCATTAACTGAGGAAGACTATAACGTGGGGCCATCCCTACAATGGAATACTGTGAAGTGTGCTGTCGAGTCAGTTTCAACTCACAGCATCTGTGTATATGGCCAAAGGAACAGCTGGTAGGTTTGAACCATCAACCATGTGGTTAATAGTACGGTGCTTAATCCTACACCACCACCTGTAGGATTATTGTTAAGTGCCGTCGAGTTGGTTCCGACCCATAGCGACCCTGTACAGGGTTTCTGAGGGTGTAAATCATTACGGGAGTAGAAAGCCTCATCTTTCTCCCGCTGACCTTAAGGTTCGCAGCCCGATTCGTAACCACTATGCTACCAGAGGCTTATTACTCAACCATAAAAAAGAAAGTTCTGATAAACTTCCAGCAAGATGGCAGACTAGGCAGATGCACAACATGGACCCTCTACAACAAAGATATGAGACACCAAATGAAACATACAGGTATAAATCCTGGAACCCAGAACTTCAGAGGAAAGGTTAGAGAAGTGGACTGAATGCTTGCTGGGAGGAGAAGATTCGCAGGGACAGTAAGTAAGGGAGACTAACTCGAGAACAGCTGGCTAGCAAGATGTGGTGTGACCATCTTGTGAGCAGCTTTTGGCAACAGTCAATGGCCTGGTACAGCAGATTCACACATTCGACTAGAAAGGCATGACCCCTTTTTTTCCACACTACCCTGGTGACCAGAGTGTGGCCAGCTCCCACCCTTACCCACCCCCAGTGTAGACCCTGCTGTCTAGGAATTCAGAGCCACACCAGTGTGAGGTAGGGACTGGCTATGCCATTTTGGTGCGTAGCTTTGGTGCCTGTATTCAGGAGGGCTCAGCTCCAGATCTACAGAACCTGCAGAGCCACCAGACTAGCATTTAACCAGTCATTCTGTACCCCCAGCTACTCTGTGGGCCTGATACTAAAACCAGCTCTATTAAGAGCCTCCATGAACTACTTCCGGATTAAGTGCCCTGAACATAGATAACACAGAAGCCAACAGAAACTCCATCTAGGGCGGGGAACTCTGCTGTCTCATCCCTCCCACAACTACCTCATGGAGCTTCTTAGCTTACAGGAGGCCCCCCTGGGTTTTCTCCTCTCCAGGTCCAACAGCTAAACTGTTTTGTTTTGGAGTTTGTTTGTTTTTTCCTTGCGTCAACATTTTTGTTTGTTTATTCTTTCTCCTCCTCTTTCCATTCCCTTGAATCTTATCCTTTCTATCTCAGCTGTTGTTTTTCCTTCTTCTGCTTCTCATATCCCCTCTTTTTATTCCCTTTTGATCTTCCTTTACTACTCCATATTCTCTATCTTCCATCTTCTTGGCTTTTCCAAGTTTTTGTATTTTAATTTCTTCCTTTTATTTCCTCTCTTAAATAAAAGGAAGGACACCATGAAGATGAATGACTCATGGATGATTGGAATTTCAGAATAGTAGAAACAATAAAAAGCACAGAGAAAATTATCAAAGAGTTATTGGAAGAAAACTTCCCTAACATCATTAAAGACAAGAAGGTAAGTATTCAAAAGCTGAACAAACCCCAAACAGGGTAGACCCAAAAAGAAAATCACCAAGACATACCATAAACTCTCTAAAACCAAAGACAAGGAAAGACTCCTGAGAGCAGCTAAGGAAAAATGAAAGGTTACCCACAGACGAGAACCAGTAAAAGTAAGCTCTGATTTCTTAGTAGAAACCACGCAGGCAAGAAGGCAATGGGATGACATATACAAAACTGAAAGAAAAAAATTGCCAACCTAGAATAATATACCTAGCAAAACTGTCCCTCAAATACCAAGTGAAATTAAGACACTTTTGGATAAACAGAAATTAAAGGAATCTGTAATTACCAGACCAACTTTACAAACAGTGCTAAAGGGTATTCTTTGGCTTGAGAACCAACAACAGCAGACAGCAACTTGAGATTACCATAAAAGGCAATACCATCCAGAACTCAATCCAGATATGTTAGTATTAAAAGTAAAACAAACCTGCTGTTAGGTACCAAGTTGGTACCGACTCATAGGGACCCTTATGCACAACAGAGTGAAACACTGCTCAGTCCTGCGCCAACCTCACAATCATTGCTATGCTGAAGGCCAATCCATCTAGTTGGAGGTCTCCCTCTTTTTTACTGACCCTCCACTGGCCCAAGTATGATGTCCTTCTCCAGGGACTGGTACCTCCTGACAATATATCCAAAATATGAGAGACTAAGTCTGGCCATCCTGACTTCTCAGAAGCATTCTGGTTGTACTTCTTTAACAAACATTTGTTTGTTCTTTTGGCAGTCTATGGTACATTCAATATTCTCCTCCAACACCATAACTCAAATGCAGTCTTTATTCATAGTCCAACTTTCACATTCACTGTCCAACTTTCACATGTTATTGAAAATACCATGGCTCGGGTCAGGCACTCCTTAGTCCACAAACTGACATCTTTGCTCTTCAACACTTCAAAGGGGTCTTGTGTGCAGCAGGTTTGCCCAATGCAATATGTTGTTTGTATTCTTGACTGCTGCTTCTATAAGTGCTTCTGTAAGTTGATCTGAGCAAAATGATGTCTTTGACAACTTCAATCTTTTCTCCATTTATATGGATGCTATTTATTGATCCAGTGGTGAGGATTTTTGTCTTCTTTACATTGAGGGTACAACCCATACTTGGTCTTTGATCTTCATCAGTAAGTATTTTTAAGTCCCCTTTGTATCACCCGCATGTTGCAGGTTGTTAATGCGTCTTCCTCCAACCCCGATGCCTTGTTTTTCTTCATATAACCAGCTTCTTGAATTGTTTGCTCATCATACAGACTGAATAAGTATGGTGAACAAATACAACCCTGGTGCAGTACAAACAAATCTACAAGGCTGAAAATAGGGAACCAGAGATACCAATATGTAATAAAGTCAACTACAAATCAAAGAGAAGGAATAATGTAGATATACAACTTCTAAAAGGCAAGCAAGTCAAGTAGATTCCAAGGTAAAACAGACTGTTTAAAGTGGGCAAAAATTTATAAATTATAGGATAGCCTCGAAGAAAATATACCTGCACATCAAAATAAAGAGGAAAACCTGAAAGATTTAGCAAACATTAACACAACAGAAATGAATATGCAAAGAAAACCCAAAAAGAAAAACCAAAAGTTCAGTACAGAAAATTATATGGGACAAAGAAACTAGCAGCACTGCAAGAAAACACACAACAAAATGAAAGCAATCAATTTATACTTTCTGATATAATTACACTGAATATAAATGGATTAAATGCACCAGTTAAGTAACAGAGAGCAGAATGGCTAAAAAAACAGGATCCTTCAATATGCTGCCTACAAGAGACACATCAAAAAATGGAGACAGCCTAAATGCCCATCAATAAAGAATGGTTAAACTTTGGTAAATACACACAAGGGAACACTATACAATGTTGAAGAATAACAAATCTGTGAAACACCTCACAACATGGATGGGCATGGAGGACATTATATTGAGCGAAATTAGTGAACCAGCAAAGGACAAATATTGTATGAGACCAATGATGTTTTAAAAACAAAAGGCTAAATGGCTGTGAGGAGGAAGGGGAGAGAGAAAATTATTCACAGGCTAGAGTGTAGACACATGTTAACATGGGTGACAGGGCAAGCAACATACAATAAGATGGAGGTTAGCAAAGGAAAGATGAAGGTAGCGGGTGACTCAGGGAGGCATGCAATGTAAAAGTGAACAGAAGTAAATACTGTTAACTGATGGTACATGGAAGGGATTGCAATCATTGTAATGAAGCAGAGTACATGATTTGTTGAATATAAAACTGATGATCTGCCCTGTAAACTTTCACTTAATTCACAATAAAAAATTAAAAAACAACAACAAACAAAACCAAAAAGGAATGAAGTTCTGATACATCCTGCAACATAGGTGAGCCTTGACAACACGCTATGTGAAAGAAACCAAATGCAAAAGACTACGTATTGCCTAATTCCTTTCATATAAAAGGTCTAGAAGAGACAAATCTGTACAGGTGGGAAGGATGAAGGGACTGCTGATTACTTTGTGCTACAACAAAAGTGGCGACAACTCCTATCATCTAAGAGTGCACCAAACACCACTGGCCCGTGCACTCTAAATAGGTACGTGTAGGGCACAGCAATCAAAGCTTTAATAAACCATCATGAAAACCCACCCATCTAGCAGCTCCTGAGGCTGTACCAGTGCCCCGTCTTAGGCCCTCACTTAGGCCCAGACCCAAGGAACTGCCTCTCAGCCCTGCACACACCCCACACCACATCTCCGAGCCCAGGTGCTGGTGTGAGGAGTCTCGAGGGAAACCTCCAGTGCCTGATCCACACCTGGTGTCACCTGCTCTGCCCACCCCCAACTGGTGGCACCCCAGGTGCCAGCACTCTACCCTCACAGGCTCTGACTGCTAAGGAGGGATATGTGCTGGTCCTGGTGGGCAGCCTGCTTTCATCTGCCCACATGTTTAACACTAACACTCTCAGCTCCTGCAGCCAGAACTCACTGACTGACCGGCAAGACAAAGGGACCTACCCTAATGGCAGCTCAGGAGTCTTGGAGCACTGCTGAGGCGGCTAGTCGGGTATCCTGAAGTCAAAGGGTTGGCGGGGGATGAGTGCTGGGAGGACCTTGCAGGAGCCCCCACTGGTGGGAAAGTGCTGGTGGCCACCACTCGTGGCAGCCTGCTGGAAATAACTGCCTGGGAGCCCAGAGTGTGTGCTCAGACTCAATCGCTACCCAGGGTGAAATGACTAGTGTCACAGTCACTCCCAGGACCTGTGCAAAGCCACAGCCTCAAAGGGCCTCCAATGATTGCTGGGTTACTGAGTCCACTCCCCAGGCCAGTCGCTCAGATGGGACGCCACAGAGACCCTGTATACCAGCTTCAACCCAGAGCCTCACCCTGGGGACATGGCTGGGCTGTTCCCTCTCTGGTCAGATTTACAGGCAGCAGGATTTCTGGAATAACGATGAGTCACATCAACCCTACTGTTGTAGCCAGCGGCCCTGGTCCCTGGTCCCTCCTCCTCAGCTGCCAGCTGTTGACAGCTTGATGGATGGCAGGAATCCTCACATCCTGTTTTGACACACGGATGCTCATCACCTCCCCAGCTCCCTCCTAACATGCACAAGCACTTGCAGGACACGGGACATTCCTCCATGGGAAGATAAGGTAGCGATCCCCACCATGTTCTGTACCTGTCCAGGAGCCCCAGGCCCAGCCCTGCCCCCAGTATGGAGAATACGAGGACAGCTATTATCTGAGTCAGTGAATGAAGAGGAGGTGAGAGAGCTGCTGCTGAGGGTTGAGGGTAAAGGACAGGCACTCCAAGGAAGAGTCCTGCAAGGGTGGTTTGCGTGCCGTCTCAGAGTGATGTGAGATCACTGTAGAGCTGCTGTGGCTGTCAGACCAGGAGCCACCAGTGTGGCAGTGAGGGTGCAGGGCATCAGAGGGCCTCCAGGGCAAGTCCAGGAAAGACTGATGGACTGGATGGGACATGGCGACTACATAGAGTGAGGCCTTTGAGCTCACAGTGACAGAGATCTAACTCTGCTGGGCCCTCGCAACCACAGCTCTTGAAGCTCCCCTTATGCCACTCCTGATGTAGTTCCCTCTCCATCCCCCCACACACTGGGACTACAATCTGGCTAAGCCCAGGTGGCTGGTTGGGGGCATCACAAAGCAGGAGGCTGTCTGGGCCCCTTTGTCTCCAGTGTGACAGAACATGTGGTCACTGAGACATAGCTGACCCTAATGCTAGAAAGGGCCTCTCACATGAATTGCACACAGCAGAAAACGGCAAGACCAGTGTCTCAGGGATCACCAAGGTCAACTGGTCTAACACAGTCCAACATAAAAGCTCTTGAGCAGCCATCTAAGCTCCAACTATTCGTCTCTCCATCCCCTGGAGGAAAGAAGAGTGATGAATACTGAAGACACATTAGTCCAATGGACTAATGGACCACGTGAACATCAGTCTCCAAAACACTGAGACCAGAAGAACGAGATGTTACCTGGCTACCTACTACCACCAACTACTCTAAAATGAATCACATTAGAAGATCCCAGATACAGTAGGAGAAAATGTGGTACAAAACTCAAAATCATAAACATGACCCAGCTAACTGGTCAGATAGAGACTGGAGGAGCTCCATAGTATGGTCCAGAATCACCCTTCAGCCTGGAACTGAGCTCACATCCATGGCTCCATTTTCAACCAAACAGTAGACAGGTAAATACATAAATGGAACAATAGCACCAGGTAGAAGCCCACACACCTTCGAAGAATCAACCATTTGAGATTAAAAGGACAGCATTTACCCAAGGACAGAGTTCAGAAGGGTTAGGAAAGAAGGAGGAATGGAAATGGAAAACATAAGGAATATGTAGGATAAAAGAGGTTAAATTGAGGGAACTGCAATCAATGAAATGAAAAAAAAAATAACCCCCACATATGAATTGTTGAATGGAAAACTGATAATGTGCTCTGCAAACTGTTACCCAATTCACAATAAAAAATTTTTTTTTTTTTTAAAACCAAACAGATGACGACAGCAGTAGGGTTGTGCATCCTACCTGAAGGCGTAGGTTTTCTGGTGCCAGCTCAGCTGTCCCCGGATACTGTAGGCGATGGTGGTGACAAACTCCCCACCCAGCCCTAGCTCCGAGCATAGCTTCAGGGCAAACTTTTCCGGTGAGTTCTCCTTCTCCGACATGTCCCACTCAAACTGGTCCACCAGGGATATGTTGCCCACGTGGATATTCAACTGGGACCAGACACTTAGGTTAGTGTGTCCAATAAGCATTCCCCACTCCACACACCGCCCCCGCGCCCCCAAGAACAGAGGACAGCTGCTAGGGCCCACCAGGCACCAGCTGAGACCTGAGTGAGGGCCTATTCCATGAACCTCCTGGGGCTGCCAAGAGAGGTCAGTCCAAGCCCACTTTCCCTGCCTGTTTTTAACTATGTTGACCATATGCTCTCACCTGCCCTTCAACACACAGAACTTCTCCCACCTCACACCTTTGAGCCAGACCACCAGCCAGGCTGTTGGTGGCGGTGGAGGGGACAGAGGGCCTGGGGGATAGACCTAGCAAGGAAAGACAGGTGAGACTCAGGGTCAGTGTAAAGTTTCAAGTTCGAGCTCACAGTGGTAAGTGTGTGGGACGAGTGTGGAGATGCCAGCCTCACATGGCACTTGTCCGGTCTTGCCCGTGCCAGCATCCCCATTTGTTCCATGGGGCCTGAGCCCCTGCAGAGCCCTGACTCACAAGAGCTGCCCTGCAAAGCAGGGGGAGCTACCCCAAGGAGGCTTGTCAAAGCCCTACCCCCCAGCACTGACCCAGGCACAGAGGTAGGGTGCCTACCTTGATGATGACACGCTGGTCTGACTGGTCCTCCAGGATGCTGTCTGTGGGGTAGGACTCAATCTGCTGCCGGATGGCTGAAGCGATGGCCGGCACAAAAGTCAGCGGGTTCAAGTCCAGGTCATCACACAGGATCTCCGAGAACATCTCAGGGGTCATCAACTTCTCTGTAGTCAGGACATGGGAAGAGGGGATGCTGATGCTGGGCACCCGGCGCCCTCCACCCCTTGAAGACTTGGGACATTGGGGTGGCCCTTGTGGACAAGGGAAGGAGGACATGATACAGTCCTCACCATCCTCCACTCAGCTCCAGAAGGTCAAGGCCTGGCGTTAGGGCGCCTGGCCACTCAGTGATGTCTCCTAAAAACACCAGCGCTGGGAGTGCATGTAGGCGACAGGCCTTCAATGACACATCCTCTTGCTTGTCCTCTGAGGTCACTCACTGTCCTACACTCTGTACTGACATGTCCCACACAGTCCCGCAGCGCAGTCGCCTGGGACAGCTCCCACAGTCCATTTCGACTCAAAGAGACCCTGTATACGGTTTCCAAGGAGCATCTGACCTGTGGTTAGCAGTCCAATGTTTACCCTACAGTGCCAAACCAGGAGTCCAATTCTAATAAACAGGAGGTTAAAACAGACACAACTCTAGCTTTAAAAAGCACCTGGTAGAACAAACAAGATGGGAGATCGGGTGGACGTGTAGTAAAGAGCTCCGCCAACAACGACACAGAATACCCGACCAAGCAGGCTCAGGGGCTGGTCCCAGAACTCTGAACCACATATAAAGGAATATTTGGAAGGTTGGAAGGCTTACACCTGGGGGAATTTGTGGCAGAAACAAGAAATCTATTGCTTTCTAGTCCGGCATGCTCGGCTGCTCCAGGAGCCTCCATCTTGGATAAGACCAAGCAGGGGAAGGATCGGAGTGGCCACAGACTCCTGGCAGAACCACTGAGATAAAGGTGTGGACATTATTTTCTTTTGGTAGCTGTTCATTGGTCCCTTGCTGTCTGTGCACCTCCCTTCTGGTGACGATAGGGGTGCCTGCGCTAGTGGGCACCCCAGCCCCACCCTTGGAGGGTTCTATTACGCATGCACACAGATCTCCTCGAAATGTAAAGAGACAGTTTCCAATTAAAACCAAACGGCCACAGCCGGCCCTGAACTGTTTCCAACTAGAAAAAAGGCCTGAACGGGGATTGTGGAGCGGGACAAGCAGACAAAAGAGGAAACAGGCTGAAAATTAAATCCTAAATTATGTCAAAACAACCAACAGTGGTATCTTGAAACTTCTCAGGAAGAAGAGTGAA